AGAAAGCTAAGTCACTTAAGAACATCAGCTCAAATAAATCAGGGCAAGTCTAAGTCTTACATTCTTTCTCTACTTTCTCACCTAACCGAGAAACCATTCTCACAAATCCCATAGGCTGAGAATGCTGAGAAAACTGAACAGCAAGTCAAAGGACATTCTCTGAGCTTATTCCCATAGCTGGAGATAGTCACTCGCATTAAAACTTTTTGCTGGGGTGCACATATAACACTTTTGGAGTTCTTTTTCATAATTAAAGGATTATTTTTTACCAGATCGAAAGCCAGATTTGCAAAATTTAATTGAGGTTCTTCATATAAGAAACAACATCGATTTGTAACAAAAGTTTATATCTGATGGATCTAAAACAAATCAGAAGTTTTATTTTAAAGACTGCAATCCATCTCTTCCATGTCCAAACAGAAAACAATTACTACAATCTAACCCATAGATCTTTATTTAAACCATAGATCTTTTCCCTGACCAGGTTATATTCCAACACCTACTGGATAAGAAGGTTGTGTTGCCAGCTGTATAAAACAATTAACCCCAGTGCTGCTCAGAAGCCCCGAGTTAGACAGCCCTTACTTCTTAAACAGGAACTGTATTCTATGTAATCACTCAGCCATGAAAACTACTGAATTTCCTTCTTTATAGGAATGCTACAGAATCTCCTATATGGCTTTTAACTCCTCACTAATTTTCTTGACGTTTGTATCTGACTCCTACAGAACCTCCAAAACAGAACTGGATTTATTGCTGCTGTACTAATCCCCTACCCACTGACTATAGAGACACATAACTGTAGAAGTTGTTCCACCAAGCAATAAACACGCCAGCCACACAGCACCATTTTTAACTGCATCATTACGTATTATTGCTCAAATTCAAAAGCAGAACAAGATATCAAAACCAAATATACTCACCTAAATACGTAAGTGCCACCTACACACCAAGATACATGCCATTAGGAAAAATATTTCACAACTAGAAACACTGAAAACAAAGATAAGAAAAGCAGTAAGTCACACAAAGATGCATCAGAGAAATATTTCTCTTCCAGTATCTCATAAAACGGAAGCAGGAGAAAGGTATCTCCTCCTTGAATGACCAGGAAGAGTAAGACAATGTACAAGACCTTAAAACAAGCTTAATTAGAAATCTCTCACCTAGAACACTGCTTTGCATTAGATAGCAACTTATCAACACATGCAAGCAGGTAATATTGGGAAACAGGCACAGAATCAAATTCCACAGGTAGCATCCAGACAGTGATTTTGTTTCCAACAGGTACATGAGTAATCTCTTATTTTCTTTTGGGTTTGCCAACAATCACGTATTTCTCATTTGTCTCAATAAACAGAATTGTATAAATATGCACAGTGATTGCCATTCTCTCCTCTCCTTTGCTCATCACCATTCCTAGATGTTAGCACTTATTTAATTTTACCTATAAAAATCAAACTAATCTTCCCATTCTACGCAAAGCCACCTGCCTAAAATAAAATAGTGGCAACGTATTTTTTTTTCTTGAATTCTGGAATTTGAAGCAGATTCGGAATGGTATATAACAAATAAGATGGCAAGTCATTCTATCGTAATACAACAGTGTATGTTGTCCTATGTGCTGTCTATACGTAATGTGACAACTTCTATTTACACAACTGCTGTTTTTTCCAGAAGAGTCTTGCCCATTCAGTATATGTGAAATCTGCCATGAAGCTGATGCAGTGAAGTATCACTCAATTAGTGGTCTCCATGCTGTTTATTGCACTGTATCTGCATTATAAGCAGAATAACAATGCACCACATCCAGAATATCTTCAAGCTTTTTAAGCATTAAAGAACACAACATATCTCCTACAAAGATAAGCAAAAGGGAACAAGGGAAACAAAGCCAACTTTGCCTGGATCAAAGCCAGGACTATATTTACTGAATTCTGTGCTCAAGCCCCCTGACTTCAGTGAGGGTAGTCAAAGCTCCTGGTTACTATTCTTTAATCACTTCTGCACACCAGAGTGCAGACTTCTAAACTGACACACAGAAAATGCAAAAAGCTCACTATGAATTTAACAGAGAACCAAGACAGGTTCTCCATGTCAGCAATTACCCTAGCCAGAGACCCATACTTCTCTCCCCAAATATTTTTTCCTAAAATTTGGAAGAACAGTTACATCTGTTAGATCACATGAGTCAGAGTAACTCCATAAACTGACATAGGCACATCTCTGCCTTGTCTTTATAATTTACTTACTTCTTTTGGCAGTGGTAAGTTTGTTGTTGTTTTTAAGGAAGAAGAAACAGAAGATGAACAAAAACAATTTCTATTCAGTCATGATGTGCAACTACCTTCTCTCATGCTGCAGTTACATGTCAGCTGTAGAATCTGTACTCCCAAATCTTTGTATCCAGCTGTGCTGACTTTAGCATTTCTTCTCAGACAGCATAATAGTAACACTAGCCAAAGTCCGTTAATCCAGGAGGGAACTGATCTGTGTAACTGTATAATCAGGCTCAACAGAACGGGCACATCCATACAGGAATGTCCAATGACAAAAGGCTGTGAACTCCAGCCTTAGCTCTGCACCTTCCCTAATTTAGGTGGATAAAGCTGCTTCTCTCCAGCAACACTGGGGTCACAAACACACGTCATAAATCCAAAATCAGCCAAACTCCTCCTTACTTCCAGAAGCTACTGCTAGCCTGGCATCTCCCAGCACAGGACCTGCAGCTGCTTCAGGAGTGGCATCTTCAGAGCATTCCCCTTAGGGATTACTCTGCTACCAGTCTTCTGCTGGAAAGGTAACAGCAATTTATCCTGCCTACCTTTTGGCTGTAAACCATCAAAAGATAATTTAGTGGAAGAAAGACATTTAGTATCTCAAAAATACATATCTGCAGCCAGGTTCTTCCTTTTTAAAATTTCAGAAATGTTCATTTAGCAAAAAATTACTTACACATCTTACTGAAAGGAGATACCATACAAAACCCAATGGTGCTTAGCAGCTTCTTCAGAATAATGAAAGTTTTGTAGCAGAGATAAGCTTGCCTTTTTAAAAGATTAATCACTACTGGCTTTTACAAATTCTTTATGAAAGAAATTAATCAAGATCATTTAGAAAGCTAACCAAAAAGTGAAATAAAGCTTTAACTTGTATTTAAACATAACACAAACAAATGCTGAGCATAAATTTAAATGATCATTTTTAACATTCATAAATTGGGACTGATCATGAAAGCTAGATACTATAAAACACTTCCAGGACTCTAGTACCTCAAAACCTATGAAGCAAAAAAAAAAAAAAAACAAATAAAAGAAAGCAACAGCAACAAGGCACATGGGTCTGCAGCAGCAACAGCAGCAAACGAATAGCATCAGCATCAAACTGGTACCAACAAAGATTTTAGCTAGGGCTGAAGGCAGAAAGGTATTAGAGCTTCCTGAAAATAAAGCAATACGTGAAACCAAAGGGGATCATCAAATTACAGTAACTGTCCCTTTTTTTGTGAGGCACTCAATTTTTAATGAGCAAAATGTTCATTGCCCAAGCTAGAAATGCTGCCAATTTCTAAGTGGGGTTTGCTGGTGGGTGATTCATCGTATATTCTGCTACAAGCACAGTTAGACACAGAATAATGAACATAATTAAAATAATGAAAAATCGTCAGTTCAAGAGGAAAACAAGAACCAAGCTGTTCATCAAATACCCTCCTCTAAAGTCCTATAGTTCAAGCATTTGAAAAAACAACAAACCATAAAACCAAAACAACAAAGAAAACAAAACAAACCCCCCCCGAAAACCCAAACCCACATAAGAAAGAAACCAAAGGGCAAATCAAGGCATTTTAAGAATGTGTTGATATTCTACTAAATCTAGTTTCTAGCTCTACATCAAGACATAACTCAAGACCTTTGCTTATATTTCCTAATAAACATACATACTTTGGCAGCCTTATAAATTTGCCTCAATTCAGCAAAATACTAACCATATGCCTAAAACTAAAAACATTTTATACTTTCCTGAGTTCAACTGGAAATAGAAACATGCATATATATCTTAAAAAAGAAATATATGCTCTAGTGATGTGCCCAGAGCGTCAGTGATGATGGGTCTTAAATCATGTTTGAAATCATTTTGAAATTTTTTGGTGAAAGGCAACATGTCAATAAAAATACCGGGCTTTTATCCTGATTTGAGCCAGTAACACTTCAAAATGCACACATATTTTTTAAACCAGATGACAGAACAAACACCTTATCACTTGACCCAGTTCTACAAAGGGGTTTGACTGTAACACCAAGGCCTAAAGCTGAAATAAGCGCATTATTTTCATACTCTCAGCTGAAAGAACGTATTTCCTCATTCTGCAGACGAGATGCAAAAACTAATGAGCTCAGCAGCCCCATCTCTCTTTTGATGGGCTTATGACACTTGCCAATGTTACCAGCTAGGTTTCATTTATTTTTATATCGATATAAGTAGATATATAGAAATGCATGTATATAATAAATATTTTTGTACTCTCTCTCTCTCTCTCTCTCTATATATATATATATACACACACATCTCTCTGGTGACTCCTGCAAGCCATCGAGAACGGGTAGAGTCCCGCTTCCCCGGAGGCCTTTTGCCTGGCACTTGAGATCTCCAGAGCTAGGGCAAAAACACGACTACTGGTGACATGCTACGGCAGCTGCACACAGATCTTGCGATATTAAAGATGGCTCCTGCTCTCCCCGCAGCAGCAGCTTCCCACGGCTCCGCTACCTGCTTCATTAAAAACAAAGCCCGGCCCTCGCACGGCAGCGCAACGCCCGGAATGCACAGGCTGGCACCGGCTCGAAGCAACACGCCCCTCGGCAACTAGGCAGGAGCTGTGAGAGGGACGCCGGCCCCGGGAGATGATAGCAGCGGGGCGGCCCGGCCAAAAGCAATCTCCACAAGGAAGGCAGGAAACAGAGGTATCCGCCCGGCAGTGGGAACGCGGAGGGGATCGGTACCTGAGGCCGTCGCGGCAGCAGGGTAGCCCATCGGCAGCGCCGCCAGCTGCTGCAGAGGGTGGGTGGCTGCGCCACCGTCGACGAGAGGCGGCCGCCCCAACATCAGCAGCGGCATCAGCATCGCGGCAGCCAGCCCCAGGAGCAGGGAAGAGAGGCGCCTGCAGGTCCCCAGCATGGCGAGCAGCCCGAGGGCACCGGAGGCATACTGCGGGCAAGGACGCGGACTGGAAGCCGGAACCAGCGGCAACTCCGGCGGCGGCGCTACAGCAACAGCGACGGACCCTCCCCACCCCTGCGGCAACACTTTGCACAGCAGGCGCCCGCCCGCCCCGCCCCCCGGGAGTGGGGGAGGCGGGGCCTGAGTGGCGGGAGGGGCCGTGGTGTTGCTGAGGCAAGGGTCTGGAAAGGGCGGTGGGAAAGAGGTAGGGGGTGTGGCGGTTCGTTTTGTGTAGCAAAGAGCGAGGCCAGCGGTGAGGGGAGAGAGCGCTGCTGGTTGCGGCCCGTCTTTGAAGGCCTGCGGAGGACGGGGAGGTGCGGGCTTATTGCTTTCTTGAGGAGCCTCGCCCTTCGTACCTGCTGATGGTACTTCGTACCTGCTGCCGGGCAGAGGAGAGGGAGAACCGGGCCTTCGATTAGTTTACCAAAGGAAGGACACCGCGCCGCGATCGTGACCATTCAGCCCTCCGAGCTGGGAAGCACATTAGTTTTGACGTTTGTTGAAAGAGTGTTAAACCGCCTTATGCAACCCCAGTGCAGCACGTAGTGTTTACCGGGTGGGTGCATATGGTGGCTTGGTGTCACTGGAAAACCACTTTCACTCAGGCACTGGCATAGCTGTATTTGTCTCCTAAAGCTTTGCTTCCACACACTGGCATGTCTTTGCCCTATCTACATGCTTATTTGCATTAACGGCCCTAATAGCAAACAATCCACATTTTTTTGATTTAAGGATGCACATTAATGTAGGTAAAATTGGACTGCGCTTGCGGATGCAACCTAAGGATCATGGAAAAACTGCTCAAGTTATTGACAGCAGGTAAGACTGCTACAGCTCACCAAAGACAGAACAGCTAGATAAATCTAGCTCACCCACAGAATGAAACTGCCTGCATGTTTCAGAGCTAAACATGTGCCAGCACCACCACACAATGAATTTCACGTTAGTGTTGATGAGTGAGCCCATGCAATGATTTCAGTGAGCCAAACACTCACTGTAGGGACATGCCAGAACATACTACATTTTCAGTGTATGAGTACTGCATAGAAATTCCTTGGAAAAGTATCAAATCACTCTATTTGCCTTCTAATAAAATAAATATTAGCTATTAAAAATCTTCGTTTAGACATAATGACATATCAGGCCAAATTTTTTTAGTTTCAGATCAGAGAAAATTTCTTCAAATGTAGGAGGAAAACTATAAAGGAATAGAAATTTTCCCACACAAAGAGGAACTACCAGATTACAGTGTGTATTTTTAACAGTTCTCTCATAAAAAAAAAAATACATTTTTTCTTGTGATTTAAAGCCATTCTGTAATGTAGTTAATTGCCATTAACAGTGACTTCAAATAGATTTGGGATTGGCATAGAAAATACAGTTCACTTTTACTGCAGTTGCTGATAGTCTGCTGGCACTTTTTGGGACTGCCAGAGAATGGACTGACTTCATCACTCGTGCATTATGAACCACCACTACCTGCAGCATAACACTGTAGTGGGAAATGGACACCCTCCTCAGCAGGTTATCTTCAGTACTTTTCTTTAGAAAGGCATCACACTCTCCCTTTTGTTCATCAGCACAAAAAATAAAAGAAAAAAGCAAAACAAACTCCCAAAACACCTTTCTTCTGAGTAAGCAAAAGAGCACAAAGAACAGACAAATAAACCAATTATTTGTTTACTTGATATAGAACCCTCCTCCTGCAGCTCACAGATTCTGTTTTGATTAGAAAACATCAGCTCAGTATCTGCTTCCCTCCTTCACATCACGACACCCAGCTTCTTCATTTAACCTCGTATCTGTGCACAGCAAAAAGGCTGCTTCCACACAGCCTCTGTTAGAGCTGAATTCATTTTGAAATCCCTGCAACATTGCATCTTCTCAGGTGGAAGAAAGGGGTCTACAAAAAGCTAGCTAATGCTTTGAGTAATTTGCTCCCTTTGTTCATGAATTTGTCTGATAAATGTTTATGTGGTAACAGGAGGTATAGAGATATACATAGAATCACAGAATGGTCTGGGTTGGAAAGGACCTTAAAACTCATCCACTTCCAACACCCCTGCCACAGGCAGGGACACCTTTCACTAGACCAGGTTGCTCCAAGCCCCATCCAACCTAGCCTTGAACACTACCAGGGATAGGCAGCCACAGCTTCTCTGGGCAACTTCTGTCAGTGTCTTGCCAGCTTCATGGTAAATAATTTTTTTTCTTAATATCTAATCTAAATGTACCCTGTCAGCCTAAAGCTATTCCCTCTTGTCCTATCCCTGCATATTCTAAGTGCTTTAAAGAGAAGCCTTGGTTACTAGGGAAGACAGACTGTGAAACCCTCATCTGGCTTTAACACCTGCTCGAGAAACAATACACACAGGGCTTAGGTCTGCCTGTGGCTGCAGGCTCAGCACTGCTACCCATCACCATGTTAATTTCCAAATATTCATAGACTTAGGTAAATCATGTTTATCTGGGGAGAGATAGTTGAACCAACTTGGCAGCTCCCTCATTTTAAACTAATGTTCTTGATATGAATATGCACTATTATTAATTTATAAAGTTCTGAAACAAATTTGTTAAATGTGCAATAAGAGTTTCATTGAAAATGGCTTCAAAAGGGGAATAATGTGTGGAAATTAATTGTTTGTACTGCATTTAGATAAATTACTGAGAAGAGATTAAAGCACACAGTAACACCCTGTCATGGTTTAAGCCCAGCCGGCAACCCAGAAACCACGTCGCAGCTCTCTCACTCACCCCTCTTCCTCCTCCTGCTCCCAGGGGGATGGGGAGGAGAATTGGAAGAATGTAACTCCCACGTGTTGAGATAAGAACAGTCCAGTAACCAAGGTATAACACAAAACCACTACTGCTACCACCAATAATAATAATGCTAAGGGAAATAACAAGGGAAGAGAATACAACCGCTTACCACCCGCCAACTGATACCCAGCTCCACCTTAGCAGTGACCTAGCCCTTCTGGGTAACTGCCCCCAGTTTATATAGTGGGCTTTGACATGCTGTGGTATGGAATACCTCTTTGGCTAGTGTGGGTCAGGTGTCCTGTGTCTCTGCTTCCTCCTGGCTTCCCCTCCTCCCTGGCAGAGCATGAGACTCAAAGTCCTTGGTCAGAGTAAACATTACTGGGCAGCAACTAAAAACATCAGTGTTATCAGCACTGTTCCCAGGCTGAAAGTCAAAACCACAGCACTGCACCAGCTACTAAGAAGGAGAAAAATGACTGCTACTGCTGAACCCAGGACACACCCATTTCAGAAAAAAAAATAAATCATAATCAGTATTACGTTTTCGTAACAAATTTTCTGTGAAAAGGAATGAAAGCCCATAAGTTAGTTATATCAACTACCCAAGTATTCACTTGAGGAAGTATGTCCAGCAGTCACTCCTGCAGTCTTTAAAGGGTGCTCACTCTTCAAATTACAAACATCAGCAGCAGCCAATGAGATATAACATGGCATCTGGTATTTTGTCAGGGACTGAAAAGCATGTACACAAATGACACAAAAATGTAAATATAGATAGATTCTGAAAAACTGTCTGAAAAACAGTAAGAGGCTCAGACTGCATGTGAAATTGTAAAGGTAATGGGGTATTTGACTTTTTTTTTCCTGCTTCTCACATTTAGATGATATCCTTACAAAAGAAGTATTTTCAATTTTCCCCTGTTCTTAGTCACTTGAACTGGCCATTAAAAATATATTAACAAAGAACAATGTAACAAAGTATTAATGTATCAGTAATTAACTTACTAAAAGCATACAATAAAATATTATGTGTGTATGCAAAGAGTCAGAAAACCAGGCAACATAAAGCAGCATAACTTAAGTGGAAGCAGTGGAGTTGTGTTCTAAGTGTCCACAAGACATGGACCATCATTTCGTTTAAGAAGGTTATGGCATAAGATGGGAATTTGAAAAACCACTCTTACCTTGTTGCTGTAATGAGTAGTTGTTGTCTCTAATTTCTCAATAATGCATTAATTTGGAACTACTAAACAATAATCACTATGCTGATAACTAACTGAAGGTGTTTTATTTAACAAAAACTAGGTCTGCGTATACTGAACACATGGCAAGAGTCATGTTTTCAATACTGCTGTAATGTTTCCTTATGCACATTAGGCGTAGCTACTGTAAGGCCACTGGAAGCTGTTAATTAAAACACAAGTATCAGGTTTTCTTCTTTGCAGTGTCCTTTTTTATTATTTTCTTTAGGTTAGCAAATTCTTTACTAGCAATCCAGGGAACTAGGTAGTTCAGAGATTTTTCTAAAGGTTTCACAAGCACAACATTTATTTCTAAGTAAGTGTTCTAGCAATATAAAATAAACATGTCTTTATTGTGAGACAAAATATTTACTGTCACCCACTCACAAAGATCAGTATGATTGTTAAACAAGAAGTATGTAATACTAAAGTAAAATTAGTCAAATAATACAACAAGAAACACCACCCTCCTGAGAATTTTCCTAACCAAAGGACAAAACCTCACTATTTCTACAGTGATGTGGCAGCTATGAAATAAGAAATACTTTCAATATACAATTTTTTTTGTAGGAAATAAGTCTTCTTGTGACACAGTATGATTTGTGACTAGATCTTCTTTCTTGCCTACGATTCCCATTTTTTTAGACTCAAGTTAGTATGTGCCTTTTAGATGAGAATGTAAAAGTTGAATAAATGTGACCTTTTCGTACTTAATAGAGAACTGTGGATTATAAACATGTACTATGAAATATCTTCAGGTGAATTGAATGCAACTTTAAAAATATGTCCAGAATTAAAACAAGCAAAACCCCCACAACCAAACCAAAACAGAATCCCTGTTAATTAAGAGGTATTTTATTCAAAAAATCTAAATAGCAGAATCAACTCAATACTTACATTTTTCAGTTTATCCAATCATAACATTTTGAAATGGTATACATATATAGAAAAATACGATCTAATAAAATCAAATTTGAATTAGGATGAGAAGAATGAGTTGAAAAGAAAACCACAGCTTAATAGCTTATATATTGATATCAGTACAAAATTACTGTGCCACAATAGCTGCTTCTTTTTGCAAGATTTATAATTTCATAAGAATAAGGTGACTTCAAATGTATATTGCTCTCTTTAAATGTACTGAAGGCCTTTGAAACAAGTTCATAGTTACTGAAAATATTCCCATTTGTTACAAGTGTTTACTACATGACTAAGAAACCCATAATACAGCACTCATTAGTATGTTAATTTTCTGCCTGTGAAAATAATCCTCTATTTATTCAATGCGTAAGCAAAAACAAAAAAGGCAAAATAAAAATCTATTACAAAGGAATAGTGTTATATTTTTAACATATTAGTATCATAACACACAGGTTTCCTTCATGGACTAGAAAGGGCCTCCTAAACCTGCAAGCTTTTTTGATTATGCAAATGCTACATTAATCTTCATTTACTGTGCAGAAGCCAAGGGTCAAGTTATTCAACCTTAATGCAGCATATTTTCATCACATGAAAGGTTAGATTTCCTGTATCATACTGAAATTCTACACACTGAAAAAAAAAAATAGACCAAAATGCTAAATACCATAATCACATGAAACAGTAGTAGTACTACAAAGTCAAACTCATTATTGTATAGGCTCTAGTCAGTTTTTCCACAGTAGACTTAAAGAATATTGTACCAATTCTCAATAACTCAAGAGTTAGTAATGGATGCACCTTAGAATGTACATCATGTTTCACTCAATGTGGGTGATGAAAAACTTGCTACATTCCTTCTTAGGCAAAGAAAAATAAGCAGACTACTGGGCAGTGAACTAGATCTGATCATGTTATATTGCACTTGGGAACTGGAAGATAAAATTCAGTACCAAAGATCTCACTCAAAGCAATGAGAGTTATTAGAGCTCAGCTTCTAATCATGATAGGAACTGTGGGATTTGTTTGTGATAGGAGGCCACAGTCAACAGAGAACTAACAGGTTCTTCCCATCTCTGAAATAGACAAGCTGTAAGGCTCTTCCATGGTCTGCCACCACCTTTTCATTTTTTTGTATTTTAATTTTGCTGTTATAAAATCCTATCATTTTTTCACCATTAAAAGCCAGCAGCACTGAATACAAAGGGTCACATTCAAAGCAAGTTGCATTGCATGTCAGGTTTTCTATGGCTTCATTAGACTCTGGAACAGGTCTTTAGTCTGGACCAGAGACAAAAACTGACTAGATTTTCACCAGGGTAATGCTGCTCTGTGACTACTGGTGACAGTGTAGGAATAAACACTGCAGGGCCTTTGCCAGGGTAACCAACAGATTTTTGAAACAATTGGGTTTGCTAAGTGCAAAATGAACCTTTAGGATCACCAGGAATATTCTGATTATAGTTGACATATTTTCAAAATACCTGTGAGAGTTTACTGTAAAGATTATGTAAGCATCAAAGTTTAGAAACAACTAAATATTAAATCTTTGCTTGGAAAAAATGCTTTATAAAGAAAGAGCATATATAATAAACTTTCTTAAAGTTTTCACAAGCATTAAGTGAATCAAAGATCAATGTGTAAATCAAAATGGGACAAAAAAAGATCAATGTGTAAAACAGAAAAAATGGGACAAAAAATGATAAATTTGATACTGATATCTGTGAACGTTTCTTCAAAAATTTCAGCTTCTGCTGATAAATGTATCCTACATTTGTCTCTGCAGTCATGCTTAAACAAAAGCTATCTCCAAAATGTGTAGTTTATTGAAAGAGATGTAAAACTATAAATTAGGTTCCTTATTTTATGTTTTCTAAATACTGGCAGTCAAATTTAGTATTAGATAATATGCATTTTGTAATAGAAATAACTTTTTAATAGTGATCATGAGATGCTACAGTAATGGCAAACTGGAGTACTTAGAGAATTTCATAATTCATTATAAAAGATATGTCTCTTAAAATGTTTTCATTGTCTAAATAATTACATACCTGTTGAATTTATATAATAAAAAATAATGGTGCTGAAACATAACTCTCAAGAGGACTAGTTTTCTGTTACTGTACTTGTAATTCTTCAGTACTTGCAGTATGCATTTTATGCACATGATTTCTGCCTCAAGGGCATTAATTTAATTTCAAAATAAATTTCTAAAAGTTTCTTTAAAAGTTTTAACATCATTCTACAATACTTTCCGTAAAAATACATCAGTGTCAGTATATCAACATGAAATTTATATTGACACAAGTACATATATAGTCTATAATCTTACTGCTGAATCTAGAACACGAGATCAAGTATTTCCTGAACCCCCATTCAGGAAAACATCCTGTACAGAACCTTCCTGACAGAAATGTTACTTTAAACTGAATTTGGTGTGTTATATTCATGTTCGCTAAGTAACCTGCATTACAATTTACATATGGTACTGTTTTGTTTGGTTGGTTTTAACCAAACTGAAATTAGAGAACATGGAGAAGCAACTATTTACTTTTCTTCTCCATTAGAATACAAGGAAATAAAAATCATTTAAATAAGTCTTACTTTATATAGCTTCAGTAAATGGAAGAATCTTTCCATAGCTACAGCAGTTGTACCAATAACATGTACCTTTTCACCCTGAAAATCAGCAAAATGAATTTCCAGCTGCCACGGTAAAATTAAGATGCAGCTAGCACTGACAGTAACAATGCTATGGGTCCTTCCATGGAAGCTGAAGAGATCTTGAATGTGCTTTTTAAAATTTATTTTCATCTCCTTATAATGCCTAGACATGCAAGTAGTCTAACAAATTTCAAGTCACCACAGTGTGTACATGTAATGAAAGCACACATGTAAGAATTAGAGCTATAATCTGTCTTGACAGTCTCTTAAACCTTTTAACCTACTAAGACTGGGTAAAAACAATCTCCTTGCATATAGATAATCAGTTCATAAAGTGTGTGAACTAGAAGCCTGCATAAATAACTGAAGTTGTGTTTTATAATCACATTTTGAGACCAGGATCAAAGCCTGACTCCTGATTCTTTACTATATTACTAGTGACAATAACTTATTTTATAAGACAAAAATAAAAAGTTTCCCACACTGAAGACCCTGAAAATTCAGTGAATGCAGAATTATGCCCTGTATCCTCTCATATAAACTAATTATATCTAAATAAATTGTCTAAAACAAAAACATGTAAAAGGGTCAATATTCAAGCCTATATCTGATATATGTAACTGCTCCCTGCCCCCAACTTTGTTCTGTCTCTCTTAATGACTCAAATGCCATCACAGTTCAGTAAGAATGAACTTAACAATGAAAGCCATGTGTGGATTGTAAATCTTGGAAAGGATGCAGATATGGGAGTTGAATCAAACTGTTCTTTTCAGATAATTCTGGATTTACTGGATATTGCAGTATTTATGGGAGAGATGCAGCTTTGAACAAAAAACCCTAGATAAAAACCCAAACCAAACCAGAGGTTTTGTTGTTTGAAGAGTTTGTCTACATAGAAATCTCACTGGTATAATTACAGTAGGAGTCTTTGTTTTAATATGTGGCTGCATACAGGGAGTTCATAATGTAATTTATTCCCTTTTTGGAATAGAGAGTAAACAAATCTCATATAAGGCACCTTTGTAATAGTTTAACTATGTCCACTCTCAGGTTCGTGCAACACAGATACGCATGGCTGCAAGCCAAACCACCTCCTAATTTGCAACTACATGTCTACTGAAATGCATAAAGACAATGTTCTATTCTCTCTTAAATATAAGAAGCTTAATTTTGCCACACCAAGCTAAGAATAACAAACCCATGCTTTAAACCACTGAATTTTTGGTAGGTTTAAAAAACAAACAGTGCAAGAAAATATTTAGTACCTTTTATGGTAATGAAATGTATTGACATAATGAAATGTCTTGTGCAATGAGATGTGTCTGGTGAAAGGAAGCATACTATGAGTGAAACACTGAATGAACAAAATGAAGCAAGGCAAATCAACAGTCTCTTTTCAAACAAACCCTCTTGCATTGCCAGCTACATACAAACTTCATTTGACAAGCTGACTGGTCTCTCCAGGCAGGTGGCAAGGCAGGCCTGACAGTAACGGAAGTACTGATGTAATCTAGTTATGTTTGGCTGGCAGATACTCTAATTTAAACAGTCCCTGTATTATTCCATCCTGCACTTGGACATGGTCAACCACAGGCTGTGAAAATTAATAACAAGTTTCTTACAGTGCGTCAGGTAACCTGTCACAAAGTATTCCTTCCATTGTTTTGGAGAAACTGAAATTCAAACCTGAGTAATATACAAACTTAGCTTTCAACCCTGTGGAGGTTTAGCCTTGAATATAAAGGCTATGAGTTTTCTCATTAGACACATCTGTTGGCAGCCACAGTCCAACATCTTGTCCCTGGCAGTATCTGAATTAATCCATGCTACCAATAATTCAGTGGAACACTTGTAACCTTCTCTGTGGAAATGCACAGCAGTCTTTGTATCTTACCCTGAATCTTTTCACTAGATCCCATAGAAAGTACATCATCCCCAGCTTTCTATGGCTCACTTCTGTTTCTGTAAGCTCAGTCCCTCCAGTAAGAGATCTAGGACCTGGAGAACACTATTTGTAAAGTCTAGAGGGAAACCACAAGACTGAGCCAGAAGGGAAACAGGCATGCAGATGTGAATGATTCCACTGAATAAGCTCAATGGAATAAGCACTGAATATTTTTTTTGAGCAGGAGGAAAAACATAAGCAGAGTTAATGGTCAAAGAATATTCTTCAGTTTTGTAAAACAAGCTATTTTCATTTTTTTTTGCAACTACCTTTCAAGAGCTAGGAAATGTAGTATACGCCAACAAAAATCAATCAAAATGTGTGTAATCCAGGAAGTATCTATGGGAACTGTTGGCTTCAAGAGCAAACACAGAATCTGTGTAGCAATTCGTGTAAAGTTGGTCAGTGAATCAAAAAAGATGATGTCTCCTACGTCCCAATAAGCAAAATTATAGCACTACATATTATTTTTTTTTCACACAAAAATCAGTGCAGATGCATTAGTCACATGTATGAACTTAAGTAATACAAAAAGGAGGATTTAATTATATTGCTCCTATTTTTTACATGCTGATACATTCCAAGACCAGCAACTTTGCAGTCATGAGTGTTTTTTCCTTAGGGGGGAAAAGCAATGTCCATAACCAATATGTAAGCATTTAAAAAATTCAGAATGTCTTACAGATAAAACTCTGCTTAAGCTTCTGATGTTCCTTCCCCATTCTCATGTGGTTGAAGTTGTTCTCTTTCTTGTTCTTCCTGAGGTGGTCTCACACGTTTGAAAAAGCCCATCTGTGATTCAGAGAACAATAAAGAAAACTGTGCTGTGTTTTTCAAAACATACACGCACCCTTTCTCTTTCATAATCAGATTTTATTAGATACCCCTACTCTCTTTTTCATTTTTCTTGGCCTCCAAAGAAATGTAACTGATTCAGCTGATTAAGGGACCAAGGTATTTCTGTAAGTTGCTGGTACTATTTGAAGGAACACATCGCTAGTAGGGAAAAGAAAACAATACAAATCCCCAAATATAGTACTTACCCTGTACATTACAAATACTAGAACAGCCAAGAGCAATAATCCTGCTAGGACAGCCAAAATTATAACCCACACTGGCACAGGCATAGGCTGTGGTTGAATGCCCCATGTAATGTTTGTAGTAACCTAATGGAAAATCACAATAAATCACACTTTGCACAGCAGCGACAAGCCAACTTCATTCATGCAGTTTCAGTCTGGTATACCTCAATATATTTAATATTTATTAAGCATTTAATAATACCTAAATATTACATATTCTCTTTCGTGTCTCTATGAAACCCTCCAGGGTTTCGGATGGTCCCTTTGTTCCACTTTCACATAGTACTTCATATATATATAATAAAGGTCCATTATTCAAGCTCTAAATGCTACTACAGCAGAAGACAATTTTCAAGTAAAATATTTCACTAACAACAATGGTATCAACAAGAACATTAGGACTGTTCGTCATGTTTTTCATTTTAAGTTAAGTCTTTAAAGCTACAATTATTGTCAACTCTTGGTTTAGGGCAAAAAGTTTTGCTTTACCCTCAACTGTATGTGTATAACTGAAATTAATATATGAGTCAAATATTTGACAAAATTATCATTATACCAAGCCACAGAAAGTTACTCAATCATCACTGGTTTTGTATTCATTTCAAAGTAATTATGTATGGTAACTGAAGCTGGATGTAAATGACTTACTACTGTAGAATTGTGGATATCTTCAAAAGAAAGGTTCTTATAAGGAAATTCTATAACATTGAAGGAAGCAGAAGATTTGAGAGAATAGGAGTGATTGTGATTTTCTTTCTGTGTAAGAAAATACAAAATTAGTATCACATGTGGATTAAAAAAAATAATCACTTTTTATGTTTCAGAAGCAGGGACAGAATATTCAATTCACAGTCACTTACATTCATGAAAGTTTGGGTCCAAAGGCGTGATTTTAAATACAATATTGCACTCTTTCCCCTTTCCAGGTGACCTACTTGACAGACTATCTTTAAACAATCAGCAGTTCCACAACCCTGCATATAAAAATAAGGAAGGATATTCTGAACATGCAAATATTTGAAAAGTCATTATTGGCATTACCTTACTTGTATAGACAATCTTTTGTCCTCTTTTCCTGGCAAAGCACCAGAAACAAATCAAATGTATTTAATAACCCCTAATATTGAATAATTACTTACAGTCTCCCAAAAGTTTACATTCAGAAAATTCTTACATGAGCCACTTGGATCCCAAACATGAAACAGCTGGAAGTGGCTTTAAGGTATGTACTTTATCTATGTACATAGTAAAAAAGGTTGGAGGGTGTGGGGGCCAGTTTCTGGTCAGTTCACATTACCATCCTCCTTATGGTTTTTGACAGGAAAACTTACGGCAATTAGCTGCACTTGGTGCCAACCAAATATGCTTTGTTGCATTCAATGGAAATCTTCAAACTTAACTGACTGGCCTGATCTATAAGCCATACTTGGGACTACAGAAGTTCAACTGGCCTTTCTCAATCACATTTCCATTAAATTCCATCAGATAATACTGATGTTAAACCATGAGTTTAATCATGAGTTTTATGAAGAAAACAGATCAAAACAAGGCTTCATTTTATAACTGTGATTTTAGCTATATTATAGATAAAAGCACTGTACAGTGAAGGTATATTTGCCACTGTAAGTACAATACAGTGAAATTATTATGAATACTGGATATTAGTCTGTGAATTAGTCACTGATTCTGAATGAAGTGCCCAACTTGACCTTGTTTTTTGAGGACTTGGAAACATAACAGCACAAAATCATAGTCATATGTCTCACTGGCTGACTACCCCAAGGAAAACTGATGCATACTGGGGGAAAACCCAACCAACAGCTCAAGAGCATATGACTTTTTTTGTCTGGTAAGTGTTTAAATGGAGGACATGGATTTTTTTTAATTACTCCTCATCCCATGGAACTTTCATCTTCACCTTCATTTTAAAAAACCCTAAAAGTATTATCAGCATATCAATGCTGAGAGCTTACCAAAGTATGCACGTCTCCTTCAATGGCCGCTATATCCCTTTGACTGATACGGTGATGGCGATTATCTTCCCTGCTAAGTGTGTCATTCTTATCATCATCTTTAGGAGGAGAAATCTAGGATACATGAAGGAAAACCAATAAATAATTCCTACATTTAGATACACTTGAAGAATTCTAAATTAACGTGAAGAAAATACATAATTGATCAGGTTTCTCTCTTCCTATCCTAGCTATTCTTCAGACTCTGACTTTACCTACTGCTGTGATTAAAATGTTACTCCTGCCTTTATTAGACCACTGATGCAAATTTATATTAAGAACTAATACAGAGCCTTGAGTATCTTAATTATTTTTCAACTCAAAACTTTGTCATGTATAGAAAACAAATACTCCTAGACTGCAAAAATAATTCAATTTTGCAATCTGTTAAAGATTCTTCCTCAACATTTCTGGTTTTTACTCTGAAAAAATAGCACTGTATGGTACTGATGTACCATATACTCCTGTACACATGTACACATGTCCAGACATACAGAAGTCCAGAAGTTACTGGGAAAAGTGAAACACCTGTATTGACCTGTGTGGCATTTGGATGAGGGCCTAGATAAATAAACTAGAAGTAAAAAAATTAGTGCCATTTTCTTCCAAAAAATAAACCCCAGAATAATTACATAAACAGCCCAGAAGCATCTGGAATGTTTTTGTTCATGACCTCATTCAATATAATTCCACTGCTTTGCATTTAGAACTCATACAATACAGTCCTCAAGAGAAAAAAGAAAAGACAAATTTATTTTGGGGTTGACAATCTATTGTCTTTTATTTCACCTGCTATATACATTGACAAGTGCTATCAAACAGTGCAGTCTCATTCCTCAGCAACAGATGAAAACTTAACCAAGACAGTGTTAGATATTCTCAGGGATATGGGTATTTTAAGTGTGTTATGAAGCCAAACAAATATACTTCATACAATTCTAAAGGAAAGTCCTACTTACCTTAATTTTTAATGGATTGATTTCCATATCAGAAGTGCAGTTCATGGGACCATCAATTTCATATTGAACAATATACAACAGTGTGTAGTTTTTGTATTTGTAAGGCCACTGCAGAGTCATCATCACCTTGCTGAATGCACTTGGACCATTGTTTCTTAGCTGATTATGAAAATAAAGGTAACAGATATAAACTAAAAAATGAATGCTGCCTTCTTTGTGCACATAGCTGTTATTTTAAATGATACTGCCACTAACCTTACCCCAGCCACTTACGGGAATAGCAGCAACTTGACCTGAAAATGGTAGCTTAACTTCAGTCCCCCAACAGGCAAAACATAAAATGAATTTTGTATTCAATAAAAAATACTTCGAAGAAAAGCCATATGGAATTAGGGTTTTTTGGAAGTCTGTTGTACAAATCTCAGCTACTGTATGTGTCTCAGCCAAGAGACTCTGAGCACAGATATATACACCCTTAAATTTCATGAGATAAATGGTCTTTTAAGTTCTAGAACAACTTTTAACTATTCTTATTCACACAGCTCTCTCAGTAAATTTTGCTTAATTAAACAATCTAGATTAAGGCTGTGATCATTCTTTTAAGGAACTAAAATACTTAAATTTTTTCAAGGCAAAAGAATGTAATATTACAGAACAGTTGGAATACCAATGAGGATATTGAATAATTTACAGTATGAGTCATTTTCAGAGTTTAAGTTACTTCAAAAGTTTTATCTAGATTTTTTGAAAGAAAGTAAAGGGCTAGGAAGTAAAGGATGTGTAATGATGAAAAAAAATAAATCAGCCTTTTCTATTTGGCTGCTGCTGTAACAGTAGTTGCAAGCACTGCAACCCTTCTTGCAGACAGTTATTGACCCAGCATTAAAAAAATTAAATCTTTGTTTCCATGCAAGAATAAACTGAAGAAAAAAATTTGTAATTTAGTCCAGAGAAAAGCTACACCAGAAAGATTTAATTTACCACAGAACTGTGTAATTGAAACGAGTAGTAACTGCACACCTCATAGATATGCTGCACTAGAGGCCCAATATCATCTTCTGTTTCTGGGTTCTCTTTCAGCTGCCAATTTGCAACAGGAAGGAATATGTGATCAGGAGACGATACACTAAACAGCAGAGCAAACAAGTCATTATTATAAAGTATAAATGGTGAATGTAATTCACTAGAAAAATCTCACTAGAAAATTAACATGCTTAAGATATGATTTCCAATTTTTCATCCTCTGCATATAAAATCAGAAAGAAGAGATCAAATGGTCTTTATATTAAATGTTCAGTTTTCTTCAGTACATGAAAAGATGAGCCTTGTATTCAGAATCTTTTTTTTTGCCTGCCCTAAACTTTGGATTCATCCTACAGAATCTAATAAACCATTAACAGAATTGATACATACAAGTGATCCAAAAACTACAAAGTGTGCAATACTTAGATAATGGAAATACTGATGATGCAGAGACTTATCAGTACAGTGATAAGACTAATTCAGCATGAAGTGAAAACAGTGAAGCTAGCAGTAATGCTTTTCAGTTGTGCCAGCCTTCGCCTCTCAAAAAGTAACAAATTAGACCACAGTAATGAATGTATCATATATTTATACAATATGTATATTATACTTCAGGTTGATGAAACTGAGGGCAGTGCAAACTTATCTTCAACAGGATTTTCAACTTCGGTTCTAAAAAGGGTTTTAGAGGTTTTTTGGATGAAAACCGAGTCAGTTCACAGAGGAGGAAAGTGACCTTGAGAAAAGTGTGCAACTGCAAAAACGAGGGGCAATTTTTATTTCTTCTCCTAAAGAAACCTCTGGTAAAAGAGGCACAACACTCCCTTTTGGAATTCATTTTGTAATTATTTAGAATTATTTAAGATCTGAAATTTCAATGGGTGGATGGAGAGAAACATAATTTCTTTCTAAATTCCCTAAGGCTTCTTGAAAACGTACACAGATGTGAAAGCTAATTAAAGATGCAAACATACAAACTTATCCAAGGGAGACAACAGTATCAATGCTTACCCTCTAATTTCAACAGCTGCTAAAATAGCAAGGTCAGCCTGATAGAATGCTACTGGACTTAGATTATCATACAGGTTGGAACTGCAGAGAAAATAAAAGTTAATCACTGAAATGAAATAAGCTAAGTATTTAAAGCCCCCAAACCTTAAAACAAATGCATGTAACACCATGACTCTTCAGCCACTGTAGGAAAGCACAATTACTAAAAACTAAGAAGCAGATTCCAGCAAATTCTCACTTAAATGCCTGACAGGCCCACCCTCCGCACAGTTTGGAGGTCACTCAGTGGACAGACAGAAGTCGATAAAGGACACAGAGCTCATGCTGACTCCATCCTTAGCCTGCCACATGTAAGAAAATTCAGATGCCAGTGCTGTGGGATAACACCATCTCTATAGCTAGCAGAGCCCTAAATTCCACAGTTACAACGTGTTTTGCTCGGAGTCTTGTTGGCCTCAAACTAGTCCCAGGACAGAAAAGCACACTAGGGCTATTTTTGATTACCCCTCTTTACAGTGTCTAAAACAGTTTACATCTGATTCCTTCCTACACTTGAGATATACCAAGAGATGGCAGATATCAAGGCACACGTCATTCATACATAAAATTTCTTCATACTTTCTTTGTAAACAGAGAAAAAGAAATACAGGGAACACCTAGTCTCCTCAAAGTGGAGCTGAGAAAAGAATCCTGATCTCCTTAGACACATATGATCATTCTGTCTATTTAACCAGTTTCCTTTAGAAAGATAGAGGCTATTCTTCACTGCTGCTGTAATCAACAAATACATGCAACTGTGTTTTCTTCCTGACCCGTAAATGCTAATATGTGCACTGGCACAGCTTACTAGCTGATGGAGAAGAGGGGGAAAAAATTTGAACACACAGCAATGTGATATCAAAGAGATATTTAATGCTGCCAAGGCCTTTGATCAGTATGAATCATTGTATCATTAAAACGGAATGGTAAGTTTAAACTTATTTAATCCTTGTAGGCAAATGTGGATAAGAATAACTTATTCACTAGGGAAAAAAAATAAATAAAAGAAGCAGCCCTTAAATGATAAGGTAAAAAAATCCCAAATACAAAAAAAAACAAAAAACAATAACAAAAAAACACAACTACAACAACCAAAAAAAAAAAAAAAAAAAGAAAAAAGCCCAACCAAATACCAAAACCTTTTTCAACCATGAGGGAGAACAAACAGCATATTTTGCCTTTTCTGAAAGGCTTATACCTCTCATCCTTAAAATTCATAAAATTTGAAATTCTGGTTTTACTTCAGAAGGAATTCAAAGTTCAAACATCAATTTTAAAACAGGGCTAGAAACCCAAAGGCACAGTCATTCTGTGTCACTGCACAAGTGTCAGATCACAATGGTAGGCAGGTAGAAAAATACAGGATTTTTTTTAAAGCTGTAAATGGTTTTGTTCCTCATTATTAGTATTTCACTTGTGCCATGGCCTGTCTAAAAGCTGTAAGCAAAATAGATTATATTCCAACAGAAAACTGCCTTTTCTTACATTTTTTCCTCTTTTTTAGAACACAAAATTCATCTAAAGGGTGTGTTTATTTTTTAAGCTAGTATGAAGCAAAGACCAGGGAATTAGTCCAGAGTGACACTATCTATTTAGTTCACAGTGTATTTACTTAGCATGTTTTCTACCAGGTGGCGTACATACTCCTGGATTTCCATACCTTCGAATTTGCAAGTCAAACTTCACAGAGGTATCCATTTCAGACTGCTGGTGCACACTGAAACGCAGGCCAGCTAATAGCTTTAGAAATAAAATCACCATGGCTCAGTGGAAGCATGATAAAATACGTGAGAAAAGCTTCTTAATACAGCAACCATATATACTTAATATATATACTTAATATACTACAACAAAATTGTTTGAGGCTTGTAGTCACAAGAGATCACACACAGAGAACTGTCAAACAAAACTTGTCCACTTCATCAAGATTAGAAATGTACGGTCCTCTTTAGATTTCAGCTAGTGCATCACTACCACAAAACAGAAATGTAATGTTTACAGTCATGCTCACCCCCCTTACTTCAGCCATTTCTACACATAACTGATCCTCCGTATGTGTTGCAAAAAGCACTGTAGCCTGAAGAACAGGGCACAGTAATGATTCAAAATTCAGTTCCCAAAGTTTGTTCTATGTCAATTATGATAGTTATTTCAACATCTGTACCGTTCAGCTTGATGTACTTCGAAAGACTTTGGGAATAACATTTATTCATCTATTAAAAATGTCTCTTGAAAGAAAAGCACCTTCAAACTGTTTATAATCATGACTGATTTTCACATTATTTCCTCGTAAAATAAGACTTATTGCATCACATCATCTTAATATCTGCTAGGTCCCACTAACAGTTATTTAATTCTTCAAATTCCAGCTACATTTGGTGGAAGTGTAGAGGTCTCAACTAGACAAAATTCTCTCTCAAACCACAAAACAAGGCAGAAGAGAGAAGCATTATTAAGTTTACACTAAAAAAAAAAGGTGTGTTATGAGCTAGCTCTTTGTTATATACTAAAAATACATATCCAATAAATCTAAAGAAAAACTGAAGAAGCACCAGAAATAAATCTAAAGACAAACTAAAGAGGCACCGGCATTCATTAATTCCACTATTTAATGAACTACTCCTTTTGAGTTATGACTCATGAACACTCCTTTCAGCTTTTAATTTAGCCAAAAAGCTAAAACAAATTTCCACTGAACTAACCAAACATGTGGGTAGCTAAATGTCAGCTACATCTAATCTTAATTTCCTGTGAGTAAAAATCCTGCCCAGCCACTACAGTGATTAAGAAAAATGCTGACTGTACTGCTTGAGATAACAGACACCTCTTGGACCAAACCTTACCTTAATTCCTGCTTTCATGGGATTTCCCAGGTCACAAACTACCATGCGAGTTTGATTCTCTGTTTTAAATGCACAAGACAGTCTTGCTAAAGCCTGCAGTAAAGCAGAAAAAAGTACTAAGGAATGGCATTCTTTACATCTGGAGACCTGGATGAAAGTCTGGTTCTAGATACGCTGTGTTAGTTTTAATATAATTTCTCAGCCCTAAAATAGTCAAGCACTAAAATTAAATAAAACCGAAGTATGAAAGTCTCCATGGAGACAGATATTTTTGATAGAAGATAGATGCTCTTTCCAAGGTTCTAAAAAAGAGAAATTCAATACTCCTACATTGGGTATCACTGATGAATTTTGTGACCTAAAGCATTTCTCCATATGATTCTTTAACTCTGGCAATCATGCAAACTCTCCATAAGAAAATAAAGATTCAAATGCAAAATAACATGAATTCTTACTAGCTTACTCAAAAAGATGTCTTAGAGGAGCTATCAGATTTTGAACAAAGCCACACCACAAAGCACTGAGAATAGCAGAGGCAAACTGGAGAATCAAAGCAAGGCATAGTCCAACATGTATGAAGGATATGATTGTATATCAGAGTTGTAATCCTTTCATAAAGGGCAAAAAAAGTTTTCCCCTTAAGATTCTGCAACGTGATATTGATTCATCACAGATTAAATCAAATAAAAACAATAATGAAGAAAATCTGAAACTATATTATTTCTGTGTATCTATAATGGGCTAAACCAAAATTTGGAATATACTCACATGTATTCAGAGAAAGAGAAGTTATACAGACATTTTCTAATACAAGGGAAAATCAGGAAACATACTTTAATATTCTCTGTAGTTAGAATAACTGACACCCAAGTCTTTCTATATACTTAGGTGAACAGAACAGTAATACCCAGTATCACTTTTTGCCTCACAGGTGCCCAGTTTTTTATGTAGCATGAGATGCTAAATCTAAATTTAATTAAGGGTACTGTTCAAACAAAGTGTTGAAGCAGATAAACTTGGTGTGTCAAGCTCCAACATACAGATGAATATCCTTTGTTGTTAGCAGTAAGCTCTTAAATTGGAACCATCCAACCAGGTGTTATACAGCCTTGAGGCTTGGAAGAGCCTTACCATTTTTTCAGTGCTTTACTTTAGGATCAAAGCATAAAACCCACCACTGACAGGCCCTCTCCCACAAACTTCCATAGCAGCACCTGAAATCTGACTACTCAAAGAAGAAAGACAGTTGGAATTTTACCTCGTTGTTACGAACAACACCTACGAAATCTGCTTGGGGTGGAACAGTGACAAAGAGCTCTGCTTCATAGGCTCCTTCTCCTAGATTCTGAGCACTGACAATTAATGTCAAGGGATTGTCATCACCAATATAGATCTGCTTCTGATCACTACAAAACAACAAAGGCAAAAATGAACTGTGTGTTCAGGTTTTCAACTGCATTGAACTGGTTGAACTTAGAGAAACAAGAGACATTCTGAAATTGCACAAGACATTAGAGAAATCTAGAGGCAGTACCTATGCTTCAGGAATATCAAGAGAGCTCTACACCATGTTTAAAAAAAAACCCCTGTATCTATAATCACAAAAATGGAGCAAATATTACGTGCTGGTTTTTAAAAATCTTTTGTACAAAGTTTACAGTAAACCACAAAACTACCAACACCTTTTTTAAAAAGGAATAAACAATTGCAAACAGCTGAATCACTGTGTACATTTTGAATTACATGCCTACTTAGCAGAGTTAGCTATGTTTTGATGGAAGGCTCAACAACAGAATACACCAAAGACCTCTGTAATACATTTTTTCCAAACACAAAAAGAATATCTGTTCAATGTATTTTAATTTCACCAACTACAAGGAAACCTAACCGTATCTGCACTGATATAAAATGCTTCTGAAGCATTTGCATGAATTAGTGTATTTGTGAACTGTACTAACTACATACAAGTGCATATGCTACAGCTCCGCACTAAGGGCATGGAATACCCCACCAGATGATGTTAGTGAGTAGAGGTAATACACTTAATAATGGCTTTGGGCATAAAACACACAAAAAATCACAGATTTATGAAAGAATTATGAGTTGAAATTTGTTTCTTTTTTCCAGGTTTAGTAAAAGATACCAATCCAACAATTTTTTTCATAGATATGACAACACAGCTCTACTCTACCCCTTGCTGGATAAAATCACACCTGCTCACATCTTCATGGGTCTGTCTAGTATTAAATGACAGAACAGTGGCACAATTGCAGCTAACACTGATTTGTGCTGCCATGCATGTCCAGCTTAGCAAACATACACATAAATCCTGTGTACTTATAATGGGGGATAGGGTGAGGGTATGTGCTCTCCCTGTATTAGCTGCTAAAAACATTAGGTTACAAAGTAAAAAATGGGTTTTGTTTAAAACAAATAAACATGAGTTTAGATTGTATACACTGAGGTCTACTTATTTCAAGACATCATTTCAACAAAAGTATTACAAGCTCTTGAAGTTTAGAATTGAAGTAGGGAAGTTCTTTTTCCCTGTAGTATTTTTCTCATGTATTTACCTTTCTACTGAAACCTTCAGCTTTGGTTTGCAGACATTATCATCACCACAATCCAGCAGAATATGTGCCTATGCAAAAATCAAATGCATACTGTGGTAAGAATTCCTGCATCTGTTCTAACATACATTTCCAATAATGCTGTTTCACCACCAAATAAAAATTTTCTAAATAGCTGGTTACAAGATATCTTCAATTCAGTCTCAGAAGAGAACAAATGAGTTTTTATATACGGGGATATTGTGCCTCATCCTGACACATTGCAACTGTAGGACTGATGTCTACAGACATTAATTGTGTTTCCTCTGTATAATCTGTTCATTTAAGTTGCATCTCCACTATCCTCTTTACAAACAAGTGCAAAAATCTGTATAATGGGCAGAAACAGAAAAACTATGGTTATTACTGTAGGAGAATTATAGGAATAAATATAATATACATAGAGCAGCATAATAGGAGCAATGGATGAAATACTTCAGTCCTTCAAGACTGACAACTTTAATACTACTCTACTTGCTGTTCTGCAGAAAACTATTCATTATATGCATGAAAAGGAAGTCCCGTCTCAAAAAAAAGAAATCTGACACAGAGAGAAGACAAATAGACAAACATACAATAACCATCAATGTTTCCATAATTCAAAGACTAAAGTCTAAATACATATTTTGGTATCATAATTTTTCAGAAGTTCTAAGATGAACCTTAGTATTGAAAGCTCAAAATGTGTTCTGGGTTCTGTCATCACAGACTGTGTAAGAATCATAGAATGGTTAGGGTTGGAAAGGACCTTAAGATCATCAAGTTCCAACCCCCTGCCATGGGCAGGTACACTTCGCTCTAAACCATATCACCCAAGGCCTCGTATAACCTGGCCTTGAACACTGCCAGGGATGGAGCATTCACGACCTCCTTGGGCAACCTATTCAAGTGCCTCACCACCCTAACAGGAAAGAATTTCCTCCTTATATCCAATCTAAACTTCCCCTGTTTAAGTTTTAACCCATTACCCCTTGTCCTGTCACTACAGTCCCTAATGAATAGTCCATCTCCAGCATCCCTGTAGGCCCTCTTCAGATACTGGAAGGCTGCTATGAGGTCTCCACGCAGCCTTCTCTTCTCCAGGCTGAACAGTCCCAACTTTCTCAGCCGATCTTCATATGGGAGGTGCTCCAGTCCCCTGATCATCCTCCGGACTTGTTCCAACAGCTCCATGTCCTTTTTATGCTGAGGACACCAGAAATACACACAATACCTGTCTGCTCATATTAGCGGGAGTGAACTGGTTGAGGATAGGCTGCAATCCTGTTGCATCTGCTGCTGTTCTGTAATCCAGACGATATTCCATAAAGATAGTAATGGGAGTTAGTTTGTCTCTAAATTCAGATTCATCCTGAGGAAACCAAAATTTGAATTACATTTAGAACATGTGAAGAAAACAGCAACAAAAAATATCCTTCAGAAGTCCCTATAGGCAACAAATAGTCATCCCAAGAACAATACTGAGCAGTATTTTTATTTATTGTTCATGTTGTAATAGGAATGAGGAAGCAAAAACAACACTAAAACTTCTGAGCTCTTTTCACACTAGAAAATCTCGTTGGAAAATCTGCAGTGCTAACTTTGAAAATGGACAGTTTTGGCAGTAACATGCCTGTTTTACAAATGCAAACTTGGAGCATACAGAAGTATTAAGTCATAGAACTGTAACAGTGAGGAGCCTAAAGGCTATACAATCTCACTTTTTCCTGTCAGACAAAATTCACTATGCTTTTAAGATCCCTCACAGATATTCACCATTGGATGTGTGATTTTTCCCCTCCTAAAATTATTACCTTGCACTTGGAGTTGCTGACTTTGATATTCAAATCATTCTGTTTATCAGATATTGATCCTGCCTTTCGAGATCTTACAAACCATCTCTTTGTTTTATGCATGTCACAGATTTTTATAACTGTAAACTCTGCTTCATTATTTTTAAAAATGAGAAGAATGAAAATAACTGACTCAGAACTCATTGCAGGATCTTACTTCAGAAGCTGTCTTCTATGGGCAGAAACCTACTGGTAATAGTTTTCAAATGGTTCCGCTTTCAATTTAATGTAATTTCATAGAGGTCATGTGTCATTACTTTCTTTATGAGAATGTCAGGTGGAAAAGTGTTAAAACTTTACTAATGATCTCAGAGGTGTATTTCCATATATACCCCATTCACAAGGCCAGTCAAAGAAAGATATTACCTATCCTCCATGAATCCTTAAGGATTACTAGTATTTTCATTAGTTTTGCAGATTTGTTTTGGTTTTTGGGTGTTGGGGGTTTTTTTGTTTTGTTTTGTTTTTTAAGAAAGAAATGAGTATTGTTTGTTTCATTTACAAGCACTCAGAGATAAACCTGAGCTGTAAGTACATAGCTACATTTTCAGATGTCTTTGCTATTTCAGCCAGTGTTTCTTCTACGGAGTTACATTTTTTAATTGTGTTAGCATCTGTCCACATTTATGGGAACTAAAACAGAAAGACTGAGAAAAAGCAAGCTTCCTATTTCAACCTTCTCTGTCCCCTTTGTTACTTGCTGATCTTTTAGTTGAAGATCCATATTTTTCTTTACTTTTACCTCCAAAGTAAAAAGACAATCTCTGCTTGCTGACTTTCACATTCCTTGGAAATGATAACTATAATTTTGTGCCTAGATGACTTGTCCAGGAAGTCCAGAACAATGCTCAGAATTGAATTTCTGATCCATTTAGTGACCAGGACCTTAGTCACAATAATACCTATTGTTCGTACTCAGACAGAAGTGACAACCCAGGACAGACATACAGTTTTAGTAATTTTAGGTCTATGTGGGGCATGAAGTGTCTCTAGCACTTCTTTTTTCCTTTTTTTTTTTTTTTTTTTAAACACCTAACACAAGGAATCTGTAATAGACAATGCACCAAAAATTATTTGCCTAAAACATAAGTGGCTACTTACCCTCAAAAAGGCATCAAGCTCTTCACAATTCATTTTCCCCCCCTTGGTAACAGTCATGTTCTTAGTGTGGCTAGGCTGTTTACTGTGGAGAAACAGAGCTCTCCTTATAGCTCCTTTCTGCTTAAGTTTATCCAACAGCAGCTCCACTTGGAAATCTGTCCAATCCAAAGTGGTTAGGTTAGGGATATTTCATTCAATTAAAAACACTACAGATTCCCATCAGAAATGGAGCTGAATGCTGATTTCAGCTACAATAAAAACCTACTATTTGGAACTTTTAAAACTTCCCCTTCCTTCAGTATAAGAATCTGTTTCTACGTTAGTTGTCAATATAGTAACCAACAGGCATTGTTGTCCTAAACTGGTCTCTTGTTTTTTCCTTAAACACTGGAAACATACAAGAAACATTCAAGACCAGGTTGGGCAAAGTCTACATGGTCTAGGGTGAGGCATCCCTGCCCATGGCAGGGGGGTCAGAACTAGATGATCTTTAGGTCCTTTACAACTCTAACTATTCTATGGTTCTATGAAGAGCAGTGATACATTTATAGGTGCTATAGAACTGCATGAGCAAGTTAAATCCCCCCCCCCCCCACCAAAAAAAATTTAAAGCAATCTTGTCTGTAACGCATTACAGCATGTAACTGTATTGCTAATCTAATTACTTTGAATATTTGATATAGATAATGAAATTTAAAATATGTAACAGCCATTTATATGAATCTTCCCAGATCATACCACCTCTATACGTGCCATACAGAAAATAAGGAAATGATTTTAGAATCAGTAGACGAAACCTGATTGTAGCAGGCTGTCTGCCACACTACAAAATCTCTTAGCAGTAACTTAAAAACCTGTTTAAAACAATCTTTTCCTGAGTCTGATCCAGAAAATCTGATGATAAAAATTAATGGTATCAATCATAAGGTCATGATTTCAACAGATATATGAGAAGTCCCTTGTTGCTTGTCCATATTTTTCAGGCCTAATAATATACATGCTTGAATATTCTTTTCTAAAACTCCCCTCAACAAGAGTTGATCTCAATTCTGTAATACACAGGATTTTCCAAGACTAGTTCCACCAAGTGGTTAAACATATGTCTGAAGTCTCAGGTATGCTCAAATCCCACTGACTTCAACACAACTTTAGCAAAAGACATGCTGAAGATATATATAGATATGTATGGTTACCAGACTGGCAGTATGGTGCTGTAAAAGGTAGGTAACAATAATGAAGAACAGTGACCAGTGCTCATGTCTGCAAACAATACATAAAAAGACTTTAAAAGTTTTTAAATTAGCAGAACTTACTGAGTGAATTAGGGAGCTTTCCTTTGCCATCCGCTTTTAAGCAGAACTTTACTTTGAAGCTGTTTTGGAGGAAAAGAAAAAATTAATTTCACGCACTTTTTCTCTCATTTTATTCTAAAATTCTTTACTATTTTTCTCAGTTCAAAGGTATTCTCTTTTGAGATTCTAGTTTGTTCCCAAATGCTATTTTATACTAGTGGGGAAGACACTATAACCTATTAATAAATAGACAGCAATGCAAGCAATGCAAAGCTTTGTAATCTTAATACATGCAGGAATAGCATGTGAACCAGAGTCTTTATTCCTGAAATCAAATGTGCCTCATCTACTTTTTTGAAAACTAGAAGGAACTGGAATACCAAGTTGAAAAGGAAGTTAGCACTAGAAAGGAAAAGTGGGTTTGGATATAGTACAGGAACAAGAACCAAAACCAGTTTGCAGAGATCATTTCCCAAATGTGTTTTCCATGAGCTCATCTAAAAAGTAAGTTAATGGGTAAAAACATTACAAAAGCTGAGTAATCCATTAGCACCTTGGGAAGATCTTATTCTACTCAACACAGACAATTCGCAATCTCCGCAGGTGGCATGTAACTTGGGAGTCAATCTAGCATCCATTGACGAGAATGTTGGACCTCCCACTGTTGTCCAAGTTCTTATTTTGTATTTGTTTTCTGTTCTTTGAGAAATATCTATGTTTGATTGCCCTTTTTAATTAGCTAACTAGATTTCCTGAATCCTTTCAAAATTGAAAGCTTACGAAAATAAACACCAAAAACATCCCTCCCCACAAAGGTAAACAAAGATGTCCTGCTTACCAAGAAACCTTCACATCTGACAGTGAACAGGCTTTGTTCTCTGGGTTTAGAATGGTTGGATTAACTTCCAGGGCAGCATTTACTCTAATAACTGGTCTAGCCCTGCAAAGAAAACATCCTCTTGAACAGCATTCAACACCATATTAGAAAATACCCCCCCCCTCAAATTGTGAAATATACAGATGCACACTTAAGACAATATTTAGTGAAACTGCAAGAATAACAAATACCACTGAGTAGATTAGAGAAAAGCAGGAAGCTTTTCTATGTCCTTTCATTACTGTCAGAGGCAGAACACAGGCAATTGTGGTAACAGGAAGTTCTATCACTTTCTAGCACAGACAAATTATTTTCCCAAAATGAGCAAGCATGGATGATAATATCAGGACTGCAGCACCCTGAATGTGTCAGAATCTAGAAAACTGTCACTTGGAAAGCCTTGAAGACATCGTATTTATATTATCTCTTAACTATTGAGAAAGATAAATACTAGATAGACTGTAGATTCACCCTGAAAACAGCAGTATAACCTTTTTTGACCTTCAGCAGTTTGGAATGTGGAGTTGCACAATTACAGACTCCCCTTGATGATGCTTTCTTTTGTAACTCAAGAGTGCCATTGAGCTTTGCTTGCATGTAATGTAAAAGCATAAAGGGATACTTACCTATACAAAACAGCTGTGTCAACACCAAAGGCTCCAACAATCAAATCTAGGAATAAGGGAGAAATACTACACATTACAATTCATTTTTTCAAATACACTGTCAGTGAGAGGTGGGCTTCTATGAAGTTACTCTAAAGTGACATTTAGAGCAAAGGACCTGGGTATCCATTTTTGTCCACATCTGTAGCTCCTTTCAGCGAGTACCCAAAACTGGGTGGCATAGTGTGAGCAGCCCACTGCCCTTCAAGAATTTGAGATGGGACTGCATTCAAACCATTTGCTCTTCCATTGTAGATATAGACAAGTCCTCTCTTGCCCTCTCCACCATATGGTGCAGCAACTGCGATATCTGTAAACCAAAAGAACAATCACCAACATCTCCAGAGAGAACATATTTGTGCTTACATCAATAATTTCTAATTTTTGATATTACAGTTTCAATGTGTCAGTAGGGAGGAAAAAATGTTTAACAAGATCATATGTCACTGACTTGGGGAGGAAGAGGAGAAGGGCAAGGAATAGTTCTACAAACACTTCTACACTTCAGTAACTGACTTGGAGCTAAATCATATGGCTTTGAGATGTTTTCGGGAATATTAAACACCCAGAATTGTTGGCACCAAATTACAAAACTAAGAGGGACTGTCAACCCGTTTCATTAACACACTCATGTTCCTCCACAGGGTGTGACATTTTAATAATTCTGGAAAATTTAAATCAGCCTGTAACAATGGAAAATACCAAATTCCAGTCTATCCTGATCATGGCTTGGCAATGTGTTTTACAGACAACTTTCAGTTAGTGTAATTGTGTTATCTGTTAAAGTTTAATAAATTTGGGAGTACTCATTATCAATAACTAATAAAGAGTAATAAACAAAATGCTAATTGGACTATCTGTAAAGACAGTTTTACAAGTGTATGTAAGATCTAAATTAAACATTTCCACAGTTGATTTACAGACCAAACATGAAACAATATACAGAATAATGACATTACACGTTACTTTTTCTGTAAATTTGAAAAAAATTCATGAAAAGAACAAGGACTCAAAAGTTTACCGTTTTGTATTTTTGACTCATCTTTACAAACTTTATAAAAACAGTAAAAATTCTTATATTGAACCATACTGTGATGGAAAGCATTTTAATTAACACTCCCAAAATAAAACAGAGTGGGAAAAAACAAGATTTAAAAAACTAGACTAAATAATGGCAAAGTAATGAAAAAAAGAGACAAATTTTGCTATGATTTTCTCACCTACAGTGTATTTCAGATTGAAGTATGATGGAATCAAAACATTTTTCGGATAGTCTCATTTCTGGCTATCAGCTGTAACCTTCCCAATGGCTTCTGTAAACCATTGCAGTGATATTGCATCTTCACGCTAACTGTATAATTTTAGCAACTAAAGGTCTAACTCAATCTATTCTGTAATACAATGAATGGATGATTTCATTTAAAAAATCAATTTGAGCTGACTGGGAATTTGAAATATTAGCATATTATAAATTTTGATCTGTCAGAAAACATTTAGGTTGCAAGCAGAATGAAAAACTAAAGATGAGCATTTTCTTGCAGAACCCAAATTCCTACCACTCTAGGCAACAAATCTGGAGTATGACTTGCGTAACTAAGTTCTCCCTAGTATTCCCAGCAGTTTCTGTCCCCAAATCACATGATTTTCTGTTTCATTGCTCTTCATTGCCAAATGAAAGTAACAAGAAGCACTGGCAATGGGTTTGAGAGTCTACAGATTCAGTTGTATCAGACTCAAGACTTCCCATCCACATACTGGCTCCAGACACTCAGCTCTTGGTACAGTTGGCTGTAGCTGTTACGGGATATTTTCATCAGACTCTTCTATTTTGAAAAAAAACAAAACCAACCCAAAAATATAAAAAAAAAATCTAGACTTTTCTCAGGAAAATCTCTTCTATCAGGTAATTTTGAACCAGCTTTCTGAAACAAAACCTTCTTTTCAGTCATCTGAAGAGGAAAATCAGCTTTAAGCAATGAAAACAGGAAAATTATATTGGAGATGTCCTAACAAGTCACAGTGAGAATCAGGTATTTCACCGCAGTTTACACTGTACTTAAAGTAATAAACTGATCAGTATAACAGCTAAAATAATCCATGTTGTAGTTTAAATGGTATAGTCTCTGCTCGATGCATACATGTAACTCCTGTTAGCATTCTTGGGAGTAGCATACAGGCATCGAAAGGAGTCTAGACCTTAGTGTCCAACATTCAGTCATGGTTAGAATGCCTAAGGTTTGCATGCAGAATCCACATTCAGTGTGCTGTCTAGATTTCATGTTTGAATGGAAAATACTGATCAATAAATGATGTCTTACCATTGAAGCCATCCTGATCTAGATCCCCCAGAGGTGCAATAGAACTGCTGAATCTTGCAAATATCTCAAAACCATTCAGCTTTGTGATGTGAAACCCTCCAGAGGCTCGTTGAAGGCAAATGGAAACTTGGCCAACCTCCTGAAGTTTCCCATCAGAACTTCGATCCATAAAAAGAGGGGCTCCAATAAACAAATCTGTGTAACTGGAACAAAAAAAAGATAAGTTTCTTCGATAATAACATGAAAATTCGGCTTCCTTCTCTTCAGCATCTGTTAGAAGGACTAATTCAGCACTGAAGTCAATAATATGAAAGTTACCCATCTTTAAACTGTAACTGAAGGCAAACACTTATTAAGTAAGCACAAACAGATTAGAATTTAATGCATCTAAAGCATGTGAATGCATACATGTATTTGTGTAAATAAATACTAAAATAAATCTACAACTTTTTAAAAAATCTTATAGAATCGTAGAATAGTTAGGGTTGGAAAGGATCTTAAGATCATCAAGTTCCAAGCCCCCTGCAAGGGCAGGGCCTCCTCGCCCTGTCACCCAAGGCTCTGTGCAACCTGGCCTTGAACGCTGCCAGAGATGGAACATTTATCACTTCTTTGGGCAGCCTGTTCCAGTGCCTCACCATCCTCACAGTAAAGAGTTTATCTAATCTGAACTTCCCCTGTTTAATTTTAAACCCATCACCCCTTGTCCTATCACTACAGTTCCTGATGAAGAGTCCCCCCCTCTCAGGCATCCTTGCAGGCCACCTTCAGATATTGGAAGGCTGCTCCATGCAGCTTCTCTTTTCCCGGCTGAACACCCTCAACTTTCTCAGCCTGTCTTCATACGAGAAGTGTTTAAGCCCCTTTATCATCCTTGTGACCTCCATTGGACTTGCTCCAATAGCTCTATGTCCTTCTTATGTTGAGGGGGACACCAGAACTGCACACAGTACTCCAAGTGGGTTCTCACAAGAGCAGAGTACAGAAGCAGGATCACCTCCTTCAACCTGCTGGTCATACTTCATTTGATGCAGCCTAGCATGTGATTGGCTTTCAGGACTGCAAGCACACACTGCTAGCTTATGTTTAGTTGAGTGCTAGCAAGAAAGTGTGTTGCACAAATACATGTTAAACCAGTAATGAAGACAGAAATCCAGGAAAAGACTTTAGTAAAGCAGGACATACCTCCTACTTTTTTTAGGAAAGATTTTAAGAAAAGTTTAGGTTTTTTTCCTTTCCAAAAACAAGTTGGGTGGCAGCTGGGAGAAGAGGGCACTTACTTGTCCCTATTGATATCTGTGGCAGCAACTGAATACCCAAAATAAGCAGCCATCTGAAAAACAAAATTCAAACTAAACTGGCGAGTTGTACTGATATAAGCACACAAACAAGTTTATCTAAAGTTGTATAGAAAAGATGCTAGTGAGATGATAATATATACCACAATTTTTGTCTTTATTTTCCTTTCTCTTCATTACTCTGTTAGAAAGTGAACCAATTAGTTACTTTCCCCGTTCCCCATTTCATGATCCAGGCCTTCCTAATTCTAAAATAGACAGCATTTCCTTCATTTAAATAAAATTCCTTTTCTAAGTAGTACTACAAAGTGGGAACTCACAGAACACATACTTTAAGGATTCTTACAGACTTTTTATTTTTTATATTGGGCACATAAGCTAATAACATACAAAATATATATTCTAGTACCCTAAATACTGTCTCAACGTGTCAAATTTCCATAAGAATAGCCTCCCAGTCACCCACTACACTCAATAAAGCTACATACCTGCTCTCCAGTGAAGTTGTACATGGAAGACATGTTTTTCCCATTATAAATAGACACCTGCACATGAAGAAATACACATTTCAGCACACCAGTTATTTTTGAGGGCTTTTTTGGTAAAGTTTAAAATTTAAAAATTTCAACTTTCTAATTCCTACCATGCCTAGAGTTCTTGCTGCTCTTGGGACTCCTGATACAAAGTCTGAAAAATAGACACCCAGATAACATCAGGTCACAAAGTGCAATGACTTTGATTGAACAGAGTAGTTCATTGCTAGTGCTCTATGCATTTTCCTGCGCACTGCATCAGTTGTTCTACACCATTTATTTGGAAGAGCTGCCCAGACTAACAACATGATTTTTTTTACTGAAGCAAAGCTCTTACCTTCTATGCCATCACTATTGAAGTCTCCAACAGTCACCGAATAACCTGATCAACAGACAAAATCAGTAAATCATTTTAAAAACCTTACTAAACCTTTCATTTCTTTACACTCTTCATAGGTCACTATGCTTTACCTTTAAACATAGTGGAATAAATACTGCCTATAAGTAGCTTAGACTATGAATAGCTACACGAGTAGACCATAATTCATCACCATCCATGAATTTGAGATCAGAAGATAGAAATTTTAAAAATATCATCCTGGGATCTGTCTTAGTCTGTCCCTGGTTTTTTCGGAACCCAGTTAGCCATATATAGTGGTAAATGATAACTTCCCACTCCTCTAAGGGACTCTCCATTATTTTTCTTCCAAAACATGACTCTTTCCCATTTTACTTTGTTTTGGTAGATTATTTAGAAACAGTTGCTTTTCTAAAAGATAGGTATAAAAAAATAACTTGTCACATAAGAATCATACCCCAGCCATTCCCATATCCAGCCCAAGTCATAGAGCACAAAAAAAATCATGGAAATATTTCCATTTCTTTTGTCATCAAATACTTTTTGAATCAAGCCTATGGCAAGATAACTAAGCTTCCATCATGCATAAATTACTGCATTTTCAAGTATGTAGCTCTTTAGTAATCTCTCGAGTGTTGAATTAATAGTAGTATGATTTAGACTTAAATATGAATACTGCAAGGGATTTTTTCAAGTACAGCTAGGTTTGCTTCATTTTGAAACTACGCACCCAAGTAGCTGTCATCAAAAGCAGCACTGGCAGGTCTGGTTGCTAACTGGTCATCATACTTTGCACTGTAGACTTTGGAGTCATATTTAGCTACAATCTCTGTTACTCGATCAGAAATAAGTTGTCCTAAAGAGAAAGAAACAACTTAAATTGATAAATAAAATGTGTGCGCATTCATTCAGTAAGCAATGGAACTCATTTACAGATCGCCTGCTTCTAAAGCAACAACTTTTCCCCAATACTGACCAGAAAATAAGCAACAGCAGGAGCTCTAGAAAGGATATAAATGAAAATCTGTATCCAGCTTCAGCAAGAATTTATGCACAGATTTAATCAGAAGCACACTAATACGTTTTCACTGAAAATAAAGCTGCATGTAAGCCAGGACTTAAATGGGTCTGCCCAGTTAGGTAACAGTAAGCATATGCTTATGGTAGTGCAGACCTGAGTCGTTGCTCCTTTTCTAAATATTATAACATGAGAGCTTAATACAGCAGCCAAGAAGCTAATGAGATGAGCATAGTGGATTACCGCCTTCTGTTCTCACTTCACCAGCATCTAGGTGGTGACTTCATCACATACTTTTCTTTGAGTTCAAATTAAATCTTGACTCAGGAAAAGTTTTCAGAAGAGAACTTACTTCACATAGATACTCATACATGTATGAAGTATAGAGAAACTAATCTTCCAGCATCTCAGAATGTGGAATAAAAATTGGCACGAAAAATCTAGTTTTTACAAGTATACTATTGTCTTCTATTCAGAGGCAAGATTTTTTTTTCTGTTTTTGGTGGTAGTAGAGAATAAGGGTGTTTTAGCAGATGAGATGTCACTTTTGGCAAAAAACAATAAAATAAATTCAGGAACATAATCTGTATCATACTGTACCTTGAGTTTAAATTATTCCATTTTTTTCAGAATTTAAAATGTAGCACAGGAAACCTGTGCTGCTGTTTCTAAGTGTAGGCTTGCGTATTACAGAAAATCTCTTATAAATTTAGTATTAAAAAAAAAAGAAACAAACCCCAGGCAGCAGAGTTTGGTAGCTATGTCCTGATGGTAGCAGCACCATCTTCTGAACAAAGAGCTATAGCAAAACATGGAATGATCCTGCAAATACTGACTGAAACCCACATTAGCAAAATATATAGGTAACATTCTGTGTAACAGTGTAGTTAGAGGCAAAATATGCACCATGGCACGAAAAAAATCAATATGAACAAATGCAATACATCTTTGCTGTCAAAGAAAAATAATGACAATTCTCTTTGGAGGGTACATTTCTCTTTGAAAATACACACTTCATGCATGTGTCAAAAATTATGAAGCATGTAGATTTTGAAACAAGAAAAATATCCTAATGGGAACTTACCACATTCTTTTCTGGTGAAAACATATTTCAGATTTCTGGAAAATGCGTTTAAAATTATCAGTTATTTTAAAAAGACACAACTATACAATTATTACTTCAGTTTTAATCTGTTTTTAATATTTTTGAAAGACAAAGAATTATTTCTGTTAGTTCTCTTACTGAGGAAGACTTTGACAGTGGTTGGAGGAGTGCAGATACAAATGACCAAGAGGGTAAAGACTAAAATCAAATAGTCAACTTCTCTGACTTAAATGATGTATCTCACCTTGCCAGTAAAAACTTCCAGGTCCTCCAAGCAGCACTCTGTCTCCCTTGGAGGGGCAGGGAGAAATTATAAAAAAAAAAAAAAGAAAACAGACATGAAGCATAAAGACAAGAGAACATGTCTTATGGGGAGTAATGCTTATGGGAAGTAATCCCATGCATGTGTATCAGTGTAGCTTCACTGACCCCAATACATTTTACTTTTTTAAGTAATGATTCATTGAAAATGCATCTTGTAAAATACCAAGATTAAAAAAAATATGCCTTCAGTGACTTGTTTCTCTATTTCACTCATTTAAAGTTCTAGGGAGAATTCTGCTTATATTGCAATAGACCCTTCCTCCAACATATATCTAAGACAACAGAAATACAATTAAGAGAAATGTTAGGAATGCTACAAGATAATAACAATAACATGTTTTTAGATTAGTACGCAAACCTAATTTCATCTTATGCCCCTGCCACATTCTGTAACATATCTTTAAAAAAGTTTAATTCAGAAAAACTGTAATGTAATTTCCCTCAGCCATATTCCTTGGTACAACAGCAATCCACAGACCATTTTACGAAACTTCAACCAGATTAGCTATCCCAGTGCTGGGAATTTGTTAAGTACTGAAGTGGACCATAAGCTTTGCTGCATAATTAAGCCACTTATTCAGGTTTTAATCTTAAAAACTCCTATATTCACCGCTAAAAAAATCTAGGTCAGAGATTTGGAGGTACCTTATACCCAGGCTTGCCCACTCAGCTGGAGTTTTGGATTAGAGCCCAAGGCTGGTTTTAACTGCGACTGGAGTCTGCATAGTAAGTCTGGGAAGTGTATGCAAAATATACCCAGTCCTACACTGCGCTTTGAACACTTTTCTCTGGAGGAAAACAAGAGTGTCCTTGGGCTAACAGCGAAGGGATATGACACAGTAAGACATTATGAGGTGTGAAGAACTGAAAAAATTTCCACATCACAAATGGGACTTGCATGGTCTTAACATGTCCAGACTATGCTAAACAATTTAACTATACAATATAAAAAACTACAGTTAGCTCTCAGATTTGTGCAGAGTTTTAACGTGCTTGGATTTAAAAAGTAATTGTGAATTTAAAAGAAAAAATAAAAGATCCACAGAAAGCAGGGAGAACATAAAAGCATAAAAAACTAAGCAAAAAAAAATAAAATCTATACCTGCTCCCTGATGAAAAAAAAAAAACAAAATTCACAAGAACACTGTTTAGTAGTCCCCTTTTAGCAGTAAGTTATTCTTCCTCAGGAAATACACTAGCTATGCACTAATCCCTTCAAAATAAGTGTCTCAAAAGCCTAACTATTACATATTATTTCATTTGAGGACTAGCTGCAACAAAGGTTTATAGTGGATTATTTGTTCAGGATATAATTCCTACAAGAAATGGAAATGTGCTGTTGTGAAGATGTAGGGAGAAAACAGTTCATAATATCTGAGTGGGTTGAAATTATTTTGTTTATTTAAAAGAATGCATTTGGTCGTGGTTCTTTCTCCCCAGGAATAGTAGTTCACATTCAGTTTTGTCATAGCTTTGCTTGCATGTGGTTGTTAACTTGTAGCTGTCTGCTGACTTGTAGGAACTGATGAAAAAAAAATCACATACCTTTGTAAAGTCAATACTAAATCCACCTTGACAAAATCCTTGTCCATCAGCATCAATAGTGGCTACAAACAGGATGGATAGAAAAAAGAGAGAGAAAAATGAACAGAATAAATATTTTTAGTACTAGATCAGATGATTCTGTGGATACTTTCCAGTGCACCTTCCTAAGTAGCCTTGCACTCCTGAACTTGAGCCTTGGAATTTTTTTTTCTCCTAAATCCACATTTTTGCTTTTTTAACAATTCACAACCAAATGCTGTGCCCATTTTAGGGCTGGCCTGGTGTATACATAACATTAACATACATCCTAGCCTAACAGAGTCAAAGTAAACTGCAACTCCATATTCCTTTCTATTTAATTTTTAAAAGTTTTGGGGAAAAATATTTCCTATTTGTATTCAGGAAAAAAGGTATCTGGAAAATAGAGAATACGTTTTTCTTTTGGTATGGAATGAAAGTCTGAAAGGTACATAACGGTAAGTTGCTTCAAGTATTGGCTTAAAACAAAAACAAAACAACAACAACAACAAAGAATACGTGGCTGAACATCTCTACATGCTAAGACTGATCCCAGCAAGGACTGTTATGGCAGAGTTAACCTTATGAATATACAGCTCCAGAGCAGAAATGTTGAGGCCCCATTATCTGGAAGTGTAACTACTTAATTAGCATGATTTAGTTTAATATATGCTTGCTTAAATTCTTTTTACGTTGGACCACACTGGCTTTCATTCCTGCTGTTCACCAATGATCTTCAGCAAATAAGAAAAAAAAATTTAAAAAAAAATCTTTTAGACTTCCATATTTTAAAAAAGGATGTAAGTGTCTGAATAAGCTACCAACTCAACTACATGATAGGGATGCAAAGCTTCTGGAAAATAAAGAGTCAAATGTTGAACAGTGAATATAATTAAAACAATGCATTGCTACGTATGCATGCATACATGGGAATCAGAACCTACTTGTGCAAAACCTTGGCTTCTAAAATGAGCTTTCTCTTCCAAGTTACTTGAATAACAACAATTAAGCTTCAGAAAATTCTAAAGCTGGTCTTTGAATAAGCACTTGCTACATAATATTGCTCAAGTGATTACTACAGAATTGGTCCTTTAAAAAACTGAAATTCTCAATCCCAGTGATATTTGGATCTAAGATTTTCCTCTGACCTACAGTAGAGAAGCAAGGTCTGCAACCTGAGCAACGACTGGAGGAGAATCCAGATGGCTGGATATATCTTAGATTTTCTTCCAATTTCTACGAGGCTGCACATGGAAGGGGGAAATACCTATAAAACATCCCACTTCAAATGTACACAAGATATAACACAAGAGAAATTTCAAACACAAAAGCAACAGAAGGTGTCTATGCTTACTTGACCTGCAGGGTGCATATTCCACAGATTTAGATCCAGCAAGCAGGTAACAAGTTCCTACAGGCTCTCTCTCTTGCTTTGTTTCAGTTCTCCAGTGGTACAGTGGAGCACAGGCCTAAGGAAGAACACACAGCAGTGAAGAAAAACTCCTCTTCAAAATGCTAGGGGTACAGATTAATATACAATTTATACTATCAGCGCTGGGGCAGAAGTATCACCAGTTTGTATCTTTAGAAATAGCTGATCTATCACAAGAATTTCAGAAACAGTATTTATGTTGTTAACAATATGTTAAAGCAACAGCTGGAAAGAGTTCATGAAGAATTTATAACCATTTCTAACATCAGCAAACTAATTCTACTGCTTTCCTCAAAACCAGACAAAATTGCTACAATCTTTGCTTATAAAAAGTTCAGAAAAGGATAGACAATGATTTCTGAAAAAGACAAGTCATGCTCATTAGTGGGATTTTAGTTACATTCTGAGTTACCTGGTTCTTCTCACATTTTTTTCCATTACAGTATTCCAGAACTGGGGCATTTCAGGGGCATCAACCTACCAGAATTTTATCAGTTTTGGATCTCACAGAGGCTCCAAACCACTGATGAGACTTAAATTCTAGTGGATCATCAGGAGCAAAATCTCTGTCGCCTACAAATTAAAAAAAAAAAACAAAAAAAAAAAACAAAGAGAAGAATGATTTCACAGTAAACTACAGTAAGAACAAGCTCAAAAAAAACAAAACCCCTAAATCATTGGTTTTGATGCATACAGAGAAAAGTGGAAAACAGTAACACTGGAGAAACACCCTTTCACAGAAATAGTCTTTAAAAATATCTATTACTCATTTTTACATCTTGGGCCAAATGCAGCTATTTTTACATATGAAGCAGTAGCACATTAGTGATTTGTTGCGAGAACGCCACGTTTATGGCATCTTTTGACAATGACACAGTAAATACCTCATACTGCAGATATTTGACTTTCAAGTCAGGTTACAGCACTGCTCAAGAATCAGTGCCAAAGCTAAGTTAGGACTAAGGATTCTGGAAGAAATATTGCCCTAATTAAATTATATAAGTTTACCTTGGGCTAGAATCAGAACAGAAATTCTTCTGTTATTCTACCAAGTGTTAACTTCTGTTCTGAATGTCACTGCAGTGTACAAAGAACAGCAACCAGCATTCTTAAAAACTACCAGTAAAGTGTATTCAGTAACAAAAAGGTTAGAGAGTTTTTCATAAAGTAGAATAAGTTAAGTAAGAGATAATTTGCCCTGATGTTTTTATGTGAACTGTTCAGTGATCAAGGTTAGTAGAAACAACTTAATGAGTGGCATTCCTGCAAGTGTAAATGTTAAAGCTCTTCAAATTTTTTAATGTCTCTTATGTACTTCCACTGGACCAACACTGGAAACTTTGCCAGCTGAGAGAATGAGAAAATGGATGGAACATTCTGGAAAACATCTGTTTTAAAAGAAGTCATCTAAATGGCTGGTTTATGGTGCCTAAAGATAAAGGAGTCAATGAAGCCAACAGTCATACATCAGTTCCACAGACTGCTGTGGAGAATCCCCAAACCCTGCGAGTCAGACCTATGACTACTTGAATCGAAACTTCCTTGCTTGTCTTACACCCTGTAAAGAATGTTACTTCCATAAGGAAAATCCCAAGAAAAAGACAACAAAAGTGATTCTAATCTGTAGAGACAGACAAGCAAGTATGTAGACTATTTTTTGCTCTTAGATTAGAATGTGGAAATGAATGCCAAGTGCATAGCATCACAGAGAACTACCACGTTTTCTTATAATTTTATTAAAGGTAACTAAAAAACCCACTTCCTACTGTCATACACCCTCCTCCCCCACTCTCTTATTGTACAACTGCTAAATACAAAGGCCTGACGATTAGCACATCTCCATAGATTTATGTACGCGTGAACATTTGTAATATCACCTTTGCACAGACAGAAATGTGGTCTGGAGACCTGCATGTCACCTTCTCATGACACAGAAAACCAAAACCAGATCAAGATGTATTCCAAATAGGGGTTTGTCTTTAGCACACTTCCAAAATGCCTGGTTTATCAATATCTTTTCCCTTCCTCACCTTTAATTCATGAAAATCCACCCAAGGACAGTATTGCTCAAAGAATGCAGTTACATGTCTGAGTTTCAGATAAAGCTGCCGCCAAAAGGGGCAGCAGTTCCCATTTGCTCCTGCCCATAGGTTCCTGCAGAAAGCCTCTGTATTGGCACTACCGCCTTCTATTCATATAGTCCCAACGTGAACCACCTACTAAATAACGCATTTAAAAAAAAAAAAAAAATCAGCTGAATCTGAGACCAACCTAGATAACTGCATAGGGAGGGAAATAGTGTTGTAACCTCCTGGGGAAAAGACAGAAATATATGGATGGGAGTAGTATCTTTTTTGGCAGCATCAGGGACTTAAAATTGGTTTATTCTGCTAGTAACCACATCCAAGGCTATGCAGCCTAGAAAGACAGATTTGACTTACACCCTCTGTTTGTCTAGTTACTCTTGAATATAAATAAGTATCTCAGTTTTACTTGCCAAAAAAAACCCTTAAATAACAGAAAACCTGATAATGGTTATGGCATGGCATTTTACACCTTTCTCTACTATTGGATACTTATACAATATTATACATTTATGACTAAATTGAAAGGTAATATAGCAGTTTTATAGCATAAAGCAGAATCCTATTGTGCTAGGTACACTAAAAATGTCTAGGATGCAAACTTCCCATGCAAGTTTAAACAAAAGCCAGAAAGTAGAAGGAATAGTTTTGCTATAGTAACAGGTAAGCAGCCACTCGACATTATTAGCAATCTGATTTTATCACAGATGTTAAGGGAATTAGTTAGGGGGTTGCTGATCAGCTTCAAACTGTTGTAGCATAGGAAAATGCATGAAGACACAAAAACTAGATAAAATAGAAAGTACATACATTGGAAACAGGCTTTTTAGATAAAAAATTGCAAACGCTAAATACAGGCCAAATCCAATGCTAACTCTTTTTTAAAAAAGTAACCTTTATTTACTCACACTCATTCAAAATTCCTCCCAGGAAAACACTGTGTAAACGGACTCTAAGACTTTCCCTCAGATCTAGGAGAAAAACTAATTTTATGAGAAAATTTGGAAAACACCTTATCATCAAATATCCCCTTGCATTAAGTGAGAAACCATCTGGCTTTCTGTTCCTGACTGGTGAAAACAAACTTAAAGAACACTTAAATGCAAGCCTTCATTGAAGCAAATTAGTGTTAAATTTTAACATGGTTTAACTATTCTTTAGATCTGTCACAGGAAGATACAAGACTGAGTTCAGCATCTATGTTTTAGTGTAAGTAAAGGGCCTAAATTATTATCTTACCATGGTATAACTTTTCATTGGTAGTTAAAAAAACAAAGCGTGTTACCCCCACCCTTTAAAAACAGTACCTACATTAAACGAAGCAAATGGTAATGCAGGTAGTATTCAAACATATAGGGATAAATGAAGACCAATATTTTGATGTATTATATGTAAGCCTTACTATTATAACAGTTCTAACAGCCACTGCTGGGTTTTTTGTATTTCTAAAATTCAGAGTGTCTCAAGAATACCTTAGAAATGTCTTTAAAGCAATGATGTATGCAGCCCTGAGGAGAAGGACTTATGGGGTTGGTTGACAAGAAGCTCACATGAGCTGTCAGTGTGCACCTTGCAGCCCAGAAAGCCAACTGTGTGCTGGGCTGCATCAAAAGGAGCATGACCAGCACATTAAAGGGTGATTCTACCCCTGTACTCCACTCACATGAGACCCCCACCTGCAGTACTGTGATTCAGCTCGGGGGCCCCAACACAAGAGGGATGTGGACCTGTTGGAGTGAGTCCAGAGGAAGTCACAAAGATGCTTTGAGGGCCGGAGCACTTACGCTATGGAGACAGGCTGAGAGAGCTGGGCTTGTTCATCCTGGAGAAGAAAAGGCTTCAGGAAGACCTAGAGCAGCTTCCAGTGCCTTACGAAATCTGGAGAGGGACTTTTTACAAGGGCCTGTAGGGACAGGAAAAGGGGGAACAGCTTTGAACTGACAGAGGGGAGATTGAGATGAGATATGAGGAAGAAATTCTTTATTGTGAGGGTGTTGAAGCCCTGCCACAGGCTGCCCAGGGACATTGTGGCTGCCCCATCCTTGGCAGTGTTCAAAGTCAGGCTTGACAGGGCTTGGTGCAACCTGGTATAGTGGGAGGGGCCCTGGCCCATGGCAGGGGGCTGGAACTAGTTGAGCTTTGAAGTCCCTTCCAACACAAACCATTCTATGATTCTATGATTACTTGACTCTTATCCTTAAGGGAACCTAGTGAGACTAACACCGCTATACAAGTATGTGGGATACTTCATTGGTAAAATAATGTTTTACATACAGTAAAAACCATTTTATGATTGTTATTTTTAAAAAGCATTTTAAGAAATATAACTAGGCAATACGAACTATGTTCTGACTGTAGTCAAGAAAATGTTCAGAATTTTTACACAGTGCTATATGTTGGACTAAAATGCAGCTACTACAGGGCCTTGTACTTGATGCATCATTAATTCCAGGATTATGTCATTTGACCACGGGGTATTATTTTCTATCTGAAAAGACAACTAATGCCATGGTTTTTCTTTTGCTCTTTCTCATTGTAGTAGACATCACATGATAATTTTACATAATTCTTTCATCAGGGAAAAAAGGCTGACATGCCAAGTCAACAGCGCTTTGTCTCACCAAGTACTTTCCAGGTGGGGTAATGGGGTTGTCAAGGCAGGAATTGCTTTAAAAAGCCATTACATAGGTGCATTTTTGCTGTTGGACCAAAAAAACCCATTATCACTTTACTGTGTTACAAAGAACTTAAATTTATAAATTGAAAGTAATGTGGAGAGATGCTGGAGCTAAATTGCAGAAAAGGGAAAAAATAGTCTAAGCCATTTTCCAAGTATAATAAAAAGATCAGAAAGTTCTTTCGGTGCTGGATTTGTTTGTCTGTCGGCTTTGGACACTTGGGTTTTTTTTCCAATGTAAATGTTATCACAGAAACAATGTTGTTGTTACAAAATTACTGCAGATGAATAAGTTGTAACTTCCTGCCTATTTGCATCGTAATGAAAAACCTGAGCATTTCCCCCTGATCTTGAGTACGTTATTATCACTTAACTGAGATAAACATGAGCCATGAGGCTGATGAAGCTGATGAAGCCTGGTTCAGTGTCATCATGCTATGAATACTTAGGAGGTTGTAAAATTTAAACAGTCACAGAATTTCCATTAAAATAAACATCTCTGTAACTTTGCCAATTCAAAAGACGTAATGTTGAGCCTTCTAGGTAAATGAAAACTTCATGCAGCTAGCCAAAAGAAAAACAAAATATAAGAGCCCTGTTTTCATAATATGAGAAACTTACATGGTATGAAGGTATCTCCCATCCAAAATCTCACCTTTAGTTAATGGGGCAAGAGGGAGTGAGCAAAAGCTTTACTTGAAACTCCCAATGCTGTTTAGCAGTCGTGGTTTAGCCACAGTGTTTTGTTAATGACTCAGGGGGACAGAAATACAGAACTTCCCACTATTGCCCTTCCCTCTTCGGAGGTATGA